CGCGGCTCAAAGAACAGATAACGGCGACCGTCTGTTGCAGCTATGCTCAGATAACTGCGTGTTTCTTGCAAACACTAACTTTAAGCATAAGGAAAAACATCTTTTGACATGGCGACCCCCTAATTCGTCTCAACGCTGGACCTAAATAGATCACATCGCTATCAGCCTTCGATGGAGGGGCTCGATAAAAGACTGTCGCTCATTCTGGAGCACATGCTTAGACTCAGATCATGCTCTAGTGCGAGCGCGTATTTGTCTACGTCTTGCTGGACGTAGGAAACATGCTGCAAGGAAACCCCTTAGGGTCCTACTTAATGATAGTCAAGCTAAGAGTATATTTCAGGAACAACTAGAAAAACAGTTAGGCAGCTATGTAACTGATGCCCACCCCAAGGCAGCGTGGAATGACATCCGAAAAGCTGTAGAAACAGCAGTGATGTCTGCTAGTACGGTAAACCATAAGGTTAGGGAGAAACACTGGATCTCAGCAGCGTCTACCGCACTGATAGATGCTCGAAAACTCATTCCATCTGGCTCTGAACATAACGAAGAGCGGAGTCAGCTTAAGCGTAAGCTGACTAGAAGCCTACGCAATGATCGTGAACAGTGGTGGGTAGCGAAAGCAAGAGATGGAAAAAGCAGCGGCAATAGGTAACAGCAGGCAACTGTTCAGACTTGTTAAGGAAACCGGTATTAGGAACCCAACTGTTAGCGCAATAATCTCAGAGAAAGATGGACATATTATTCATTCTCAATCCAAGAGATTGGATCGATGGGCAGAACACTTTAGGGATCAGTTCAACTGGCCTTCAGCCACACTTCGGTTTCCCACGATCTCCAATATACCTGAATAGCAAATTAATGTAAGTCCTCCGACTCTTTACGAAGTTGAAAAAGCTATAGGAAATCTGAAGCGTGGGAGAGCAACAGGCCCTGACAGGTTTACCCTTGATATTTATAAGGATGGCGGTCCAGTATTAGCAGCGAGATTGACTGAGGTCTTAGGTAGAATCTGGGAACTGGACGTAATCCCATCTGACTGGTCTCAATCACTGATTGTGCTAGTCTATAAGAAAGGACAAAAGTCCTCCTGTGACAATCACAGAGGAATTAGTTTGACTAATATAGTGTCTAAAATATTAGCTTCAATAATAGTTCGACGCCTAACCAAAGCTCGTGAAGAGCAGACTAGAGAAAACCAGGCTGGTTTTCGACCTGGACGTGGTTGTATTGATCAGATATTCACATTACGTCAGGTTCTAGAACATAGACACACATTCAGACGCCCCTTAATGGTAGTATTTCTCGACCTTAAGGCGGCATTTGACTCTGTTGATCGTGAGGTTCTATGGCAGTGTTTGTCACTGAAGGGAGTACCAAAGAAGTACATCAACCTTATAAAGGCTCTCTATTCGAACACGACTGGTCGAGTGAGAGCTTATGGTGAACTGTCATCAGAATTGATTACCTCAAGTGGTGTTCGTCAGGGCTGTCCACTCTCTGCATTCTTGTTTAACTTTGTCGTTGACGTCCTTTTAGAGATGACACTTTCCTCATCTAAATTTCCAGTTGAACTTCTACCGGGAGATCCACTTGTTGACTTAAAATATGCCGATAACATAGTTCTATTTGGTGAAGACGCTGACAAAATGCAGAGTCTGCTGACCACTCTAAGCAACAATGCAGGCATGTTCGGGATGCGATTTTCTCCCTCGAAATACAAAATGTTGCTTAAGGATTGGGTTGTATCGACACTCAAACTAGTGATAGGGAGCGAAGTACTTGAGCGTGTCGACTGCTTCACTTATCTTGGGAGTCTCACCAACCCATGTGGTCTGGTATGTGACGAAATCTCAGCACGGATACAGAAGGCTCGACTAGCTTTTGCCAACTTGCGTCATTTGTGGCGTAGGCGAGATATCCGTCTATCAACCAAAGGACGTGTTTACTGTTCAGCAGACGATAACAACCGATGGTTAGAGACCTTGAATGACATGGCTCAAAATCGTTTGCAATGGCGCAGGTGCATCCACTCTCTGTGTTCTCTCAAACTCTAATCTTCTGAATTCTTCATGTCCTTTATTTTCTTTCCAAATCTATTCCACTGGACCATACTCCTTAAATAACATCATCAAACCTTAATGTTCCCTATCACTACTTATACTTTCACTACCTCTACCACTATGGGATTTGAATCGATAACTGAATGTCTGTGCTAATGTGGTATGGCAACTCGAACTGATGTACGTGTTATGATTTTGATGTCCGGCTTACGATCACGTGACTTATACACCAATCAGAATACGGCTTATATGAATATTCGCACTATGACAAGACCAATGACGTTCAACCGGTCTGAGCAGTCTAGCGTCCTATTGGGTCCTACGTCCTTCTAACCCGTCCTCTTGAGTCCAGAACACAATACCAGCTTCTGAATCAACCAAATCGGACCAAATCATTTATTTCAGACATACTCGGTTTATATATCAATCAGGCAGACCACAACGTACCATAAAATAGAAATTAACATATGTACACAAATAAGCCAAAAAGTGGCTGTGAATGTGGGAGACAGTAATTAATAAACTGAGCATAATTTAGGGACAGTAAATCGTACAATGATAAATTATAGGTCAAAGTGAAGCTTATGATAAGGGGAATATAAATATACATAACCTAACTAATGAATAGTTATACCGTAAGAATATATAGATAATATTAGTCAATTAATGTCTCAGAAATTACTCGTGATTTAATCTTTGCTCGGATATAACAGTACGTACGTACGAAGTTCCACGTTGTTACTGACTGACTGACTGTATACACCTACGCCATATTGATATTCAAGTGTTTGGTTAATGGTAGCCGTTTTTTTCAAATTATAAACCTGCTCTATTTCTTACAAAAAGTGCTATCGTGAAATTGTTTGAATGTATCTACATTCTAAAGCCAGTGCAAAACTAACATTGATTTATACTATTAATAGCTACTAGATCCTTGCATGTGATCCACCATAATTGGCTGCATTAAATAAAATTTCCACAGCTTGATGTCGCACTTGACTATTTTCCACGCATTCCTGGATCACTCTTTTCCGCAAGATAATTACATTGATTCCGAACCTAGCTACGAAAGATTGGCTCGTCGAGATGTAGAATGCACGTCTTATGAAGCAAAACATACTCGTGAATGTATTGGAGGTCAGTTAAATTTCACAGATTTGTTTTGCGAAAATATTTTTCCCACCGAGTGTGGTGTCACCAAGTTTGGAGAGATGAAGGTTAGTTGAGTGTTTTCTTGTCATATTTTTAGACTGAGGCTGTTATCGTGCGTGCGATCGAAAAAGTTAGGGATAGTGTTTTTAACAAACTTGGTTCTCGACTTTCTCATAATCGATCTGTACTCAGACCGGGAGCTATCAATTATGAGTCAGCAGCAATTGAGGCTGTTCTGGATGCCTCCCTCTCAATTGTTTCTCGTGAGACTTTGGCTAATTGGACTGGTTCAACTGAAATTTGCATTAGTTCTTCGTTAAGTACTGAAAGTTTGAATCATGGTAAGAGGGTAGATATAAATAGGAAAACAAAAGAGCTACTGGAAAAAAGAATTCGAAATTCCAAACCCCAACCGTCATACATCTTTCAGGTACGTTTTTGTGTATTAATGTCTTAAATATCCGGCATTATGTGTTCAAATAGTTATTTGTGCAAAATTTTAATAGGAACTGAACTTGATAAAATATACTGTGTAACTGTTTCTTGACTTTATTGTACGCTTTCTACCCGCCATGCACCAGTAAGCGGAATATAAACAGTATGTCGCTCCTGTTATCATGGTTGTAGCTAGTTAGTTAGGTATTTCTTAACGTTATATTTTGTATAGCTTAAATACTTAATACAAGAAAGTACATTCACCACTTCCGATACCACCGTCTGTATTGTTGTGTATCGATCGTTGACGTTTCTAATAACGACTAACTGTGGGATATAGTTTAATTGTAGATTATCTCGATTTCTGAGTGTACTTTTAGTTGCTGTGAGACCCCGAGTAGCCGGATGTCATATGCAAGTTAATAAAAAGATATAACACCCTCACAACGTTTAACTCCTCCTTCAGCCACAGAAACATCCTTAGGGGTTCACGTTGTTCCTGTAACAACTATCGGGGGATAAGTCTACTTCCGATTGCGTCCAAGCTATTGGCTTCCGTCATACTTCGTAGGTTGTTCAGGACCCGAGAAGGATTGACTCGCGAGGAGCAGGCTGGGTTTCGTTCTGGTCGAGGATGTATTGATCATATCTTCACCCTCCGCCAAATGTTAGAACACCGCCATACTTATCAAAGGCCAACAATCGTAGTGTTTCTTGATATCAGGGCTGCCTTCGATTCGTTGGACAGAACTGTTCTCTGGGATTGTCTATTGAAGAAGGGTGTGCCTGAGAAGTTTATTAACATCCTAAAAGCTTTATACACAAACACCTCAGGCAGAGTGAGGGCATACAATCACCTTTCTCCACTATTCCATTCGAGCAGTGGGGTTAGGCAGGGTTGCCCAATCTCACCATTCCTCTTCAACTTTGCCATCGATGACATTCTGGAAACAGCTCTGACGGATGTAAGTAATGGTGGTGTGGATCTGTTGCCTGGAGAAAGACTTCTCGACCTTGAGTATGCGGATGATATTGTCTTACTGTGCGAGAATGTTCAAGCTATGCAATCCGCACTTAATCAGTTGGCAATCAATGTCCGTAGGTATGGTATGTGCTTTGCACCTTCGAAGTGCAAAGTACTTCTACAAGACTGGCAGGATTCTAATCCTGTACTCACTCTGGATGGTGAGCAGATTGAAGTAGTCGAGAAGTTCGTGTATCTAGGTAGCTGCATAAGTGCTGGTGGTGGTGTGAGTGATGAGATCAATGCTCGTATAGTGAAAGCCAGAGCGGCTTATGCCAATCTGGGCCACCTTTGGCGCCTTCGTGATGTTAGTCTGGCTGTAAAAGGTCGGATCTACAACGCGACGGTGAGAGCAGTTTTGCTCTATGCTTGTGAAACCTGGCCTCTCCGAGTTGAGGATGTTAGACGACTCTCTGTGTTCGATCATCGTTGTCTCCGAAGGATTGCTGGCATCCAGTGGCAACACCATGTCAGTAATGCAGAGGTTCGGCATCGAGTGTTCGGTCACAGAGACGATAATGAAATTGGTGTCACCATCTTGAAACACCGACTTCGGTGGCTTGGACATGTTCTACGAATGTCGTCCCAGAGAATTCCTCATCGTGCATTATTTGCCGTCTCTGGGACTGGTTGGAAAAGGCGGAGAGGTGGTCAGTATATGACATGGTGTCGTGGTATGAAAGAAAGCTGCAAAGGGCTAGCTTCTGTTGGTCCTTCACGACTCCCTGGTTGGGGTCCGAGAGACGGTGTAACGCAGTGGCTAGAGACGTTATCAGATATGGCTAAGAATAGAAGCCAGTGGCGATCGTGCTGTAACCTCTTACTTTCTTCATAAAAAGTGTTTATATCTTCCTTAACTGAAAGATCTCTTCTGATTGTACCTTTCCGTTTCCCCCACCATTGTTCTCTCTCTCTCCCTTTTTTTTTATAATTCCCCACGTTCATTACTTTTTTTTTTCTCTTTTCTCCTTCTCTTCAAATTATCATTGTTTTGTGTGGCGCATATATATTTGGTGCCCCTCTGTACCAATGTTTATGTGTTCAAATAAATAATAATATAAATAACTAATATACCACTTGTTTAACTCTGAATCATTAACATACTGAAGGCTGATATTATGTTACAGTAACTGGACCCTTTTAGAGTAATGGCTTTAAACTTCACGAAGTCTACAGGCAATAAACTTTAATCATTGATGACAACGGTAACCAAATTACTGTCTGCATTAGGTGGTTGAAAGTTTTGAATCTGAGAATTAGTTCTTTTCTTGGTTTGTCATCGTCACAACATTGTAAAGTGACTATACAAAATCACACAACACATGGTAACAACATCAAGTTTTGTTGTGCACTAAAAATTGACTAGTTCAGGTCATACTATATGGTTCCTGCAACGCTTGAACGATTGCTGCACTTTTTTAAAATTTTAAAGTAACGTTTCAGTGTTCCATATGCTTCAATGTAACTATTTGTTTCGATAAAAGATTTCAGTCGAAATATGGCTTCAATAAATAGTTTTGTCGAACTGTTTTAATATTGTGAACCAAAATGACTGGAACACGAATGCTTAAGACTGAGTTCTATGTATTTTCTGTTAAAGCCTGTTGATCAAATATCCTGAGAGTATATTCCACTTAATCAGCATTTGTTTTATGTAGGGCGTATAACTTTTAGTTTTCTTTAGCATAATTAACTCTAGTTATTTTTATGTTGTTTTGATTTGAACCACAGTAATATGAATTTTCACACTTCTGTAGATTTTATTGGTGTGGATGTATCATTCAAAACTACGGGTTGTCTTATCTATAACATTTATTATTTATTTTATTTTAACACAGATATCGGTACAAGGAGGCACCAAATACATATGCGCCACACAGATCTCATTGGATATGTGTGAGGGCTGTGATACTGCCCGGGTGCCCAGACCGAAGTAGGTGGTCTTCTTAGGGGGCCACACCCCGAGCCTTCGACCTGAACGTCTGACCCACAAGGCAGTGGAGCATCGTGAGGAGATGCAGTCCCATGGTAGCCGGTGACCAACGATTGGTTCATACGCCATTCGTTCCCGCAGGATACTGGAGCCCATGTGCACCATCGGTTTGGGGTCCGGTTAAAGCGCCGGACATTCGCTTTCCGTCCTCTCAATTTCGTAAACAACATCTCCGCCACGAGAAGGCAGTGAGTAGGACTTCCCTGGCAGAGGCTATATACGCGTGGCCATATGAGAGCATTTCGAGCGGGAGAGTGGACTCTCCCCACTCTCGGCCATACCAGGGCATTTGGGGGCATCTATAGCATAAGTTATTGGGTAGTCATCTATCATGTTGCCACATGCTCATCATTCTGATAAAAAGTCGATATCATCGCATATAATTCTGATTTGTCATTTGCGGATTAATCTCATATAGAGAGAGTTAATTTGCTAACAAAGCACTTACCTTTCAGCTAGTAGGCTGCTGGTTAAAACTATATCACTTAGAGCGATTTGAGCAACCGGAGAGAATCATTGGCCCTCACAAAATGTGTAGATTAACATTAATTGCTTTAATCTGTACTTAGTAGATGAGTTAAACAATCCTGTAGCCTTTTTTCCATTTAGTTTGTAATTATATTGTTGAAAAAAGTAGGAAGATACTTAGCACTCTCGGCATTCAGATTCTTGAGACTTCGAACCTAATTTAAATTACGACTAGAGAACATACTAGTTTCTTTTTCATTATCCATTGTTTGTATAATATAAGACTGTAGTAAATTCCTATTATTCCTCCTACATCAACTTTCAACACTAAACTTCCTCTTTTGGTTTCCTCCTCAAATGTCACCACAGTCCACTATTCTAGTGCGTAAAACATTGTCCCAGGTCTACTGAAACCTCGCTCCAAACTACACATTGGAGCCTTCAACGTAAAAACCCTGTGTCAAATCGGCCATCAGTCATCCTGGGCTAAAACTAGAATCTCGTACCATTGATGTATGCTGTGTCTCCGAAACACACATACAGGATCCTGGTGTGGTCATTCACTTGACCTCACCTCGCCAAAACGGAGAGTCGACGAAATACACTCTTCGTGTATCTGGCGATGCGGTGGCTAGTTTTCGTCGACTGGTGAGTGTAGACATAGCACTAAGTACGATGGCAGAACAAGCACTATTAGAGTGGATCCCCGTTAACAGTCGTCTATGTGTTGTTCGGCTAAACGGCTCCGTAAGAACTCGGAAAGACAGGGACACACATCGCTGCCTTTTTGATGTTTCTGCCTACGCTCCCACTGACTGCAGCCCGGATGAAGTGAAAGATGACTTTTGCAGAAAGCTTTCTGAACTTATTCATAAAGCTGAACGCTCAGACATAGTACTCGTAGCATCTGGTCCAGTTGAATTGGCTCCAGAGGTCCTTAAGTATGGTGTTTCAATTTTAGAGATTAGGTTGACTAATATTTTAGCTAAAATCTGGGAGTTGGACGTAATCCCATCTGACTGGTCACAATCACATATCGTCCCAATATATAAGAAAGGGTCAAAATCATCCTGCGATAACCATAGATTGATTAGTTTGACTAATGCAGCATCTAAAATACTAGCTCCAATAATTATCGATCACTTAACTAAGACTCGTGAACTACAAACACGTGAAAATCATGCTGGCTTCAGACCTGGTCGTGGCTGCATCGACCACATATTCACCATTAGTCAGGTTCTAGAACACAGGCATACTTATCGGCGTCCGACAATGGTGGTCTTTCTTGACTTGGAAGCAGCATTTGACTCTATAGACCGAGAGGTTTTGTGACAGTGTTTGTCATTAAAAGGCGTACCTCAGAAGTACACAAACCTTGTGAAGGCTCTTTACTCGACAACTACCAGTCAAGTCAGAGATTATGGCGAACTGTCATCTGCTTTTGCAACCTCAAGTGGTGTCCGTCAAGGCTGTCCACTTTCTCCATTTTTGTTTAACTTCATCATAGATCTACTGTTGGGAATAACGCCTTCATCGACTGAATTTTCGTGCATTGATCTCCTACTAGGAGGTCCACTTATCGACTTAGAATACGCAGATGATGTAGTCCTGTTTGGTGAATACGCTGATAAAATACAGGGTCTTTTGATAACACTAAGCAACAATGCCAAAATGTTTGATATGCGTTCCTACTGTAAATGCAAATCGTTACTTCGGGACTGGTCAGCGTCAACACCTGAACTAAGAATAGGGAGTGAAGTAGTCGAACACGTTGACAACTTCACTTATCTTGGAAGTCTGTTCAGCCCTGATGGGTTGGTGTCCGACGAAACATCAGCACGGATTCAGAATGCTCGTTTGGCTTTTGCCAACTTACATCACCAATGGCGAGTGCGAGTTATCCACCTATTAATTAAGGAATGAGTATACTGTGCGGCAGTTCGTTCTGTTTTACTTTGCGGCTGCGAAACATGGCTATTAAGAGTAGAAAATACTCATGAGCTACTGGTATTTGACCACAGATGTCTTAGAAATATTGTTCGTATCTGCTAGGATCACTGGGTAAGTAATAATGAGGTTATACGCAGGATATTAGTTAATGATGGTAAATCACTTGATGAGGTTGTTGATCTTCATCGACTGAAATGATTGGGCCACGTATTACGCAGGCCCAACCACCAATTATCACGACGTGCAGTGGTGACTGGTGTTGGAGATGGTTGGTAAGAAGATAGGGGCGGCCAAACCGAAATGTGGCATCAGTGTTTGAGGTCACTAACTTCTGGTCTGAGTCATGTTGGTAGATGCAGACTACTTGGTTGGCGTCCGCGTGACTGTCGTAACCAATGGTTGGAGACTGTGTGACTGAGAATCGACCACAATGGCGTCGGTGTATACACTATCTGTCTTCCCTTATGCTATGAGATTAAAATCGCTTCATATCTTTCTTTCTACGAACTAATTCTTTCTTTCTGTACTGTCCTCAAATGCAATCTTTTATATATTACCACCACTGACATAACTACTTCTATGAATCCGGTGTTGATCTTGTTGTGCTAATGTGAGGTATGGTAACTTAGATCGATGCATATATGTGCCTGGTCCTACGTTGTAGCTAACTGACTGACTTACTGATAGCGAATTACTTTGAAACTAGTATCTGTTCTATGTAAAGGTCAAAATTGATGACTTTATTGTAGTGTGGGCTACTTATTCGGACAGATATAAGTAGGATGTTATAGGATTTCGAAGTGAAATGCCTATCAACAGAATATGGAAATGAAGAGAAGAGGATGGAAAACAGAGTAATCGGATTAACAACAGAATTGGAAGAATGATGGAGTACGTAGAGGATAACTCAAGGAAGATGTGCAGATGATGTATTTAATGCATAGTAATCATATTTTACAAAGTCACTTCGTGATTTTACATAAAATAATAAATTTGTTTTCTTCATCAAGTCTTCGTTCACTACAGTATCAATGTTAATAGAGTTTATTTATCCGAATGCACAACCATATAATTTAAATTTTTTGTATTTAATTTAAAAATTACAACTAATCCACTAAAATACAAATAGGAAAATTAAATTTGTTGATCTCTCTATGGAATATATTTTTTGTAGTAATCTACTGTCAAATAATTTGATACAATTATATCAGTAGTTTTCGTAATTCTAATTTCTAGGAGGATACCACTTGTGAACTTCCACCTTTAACTGAACTTGTCGACAACCCGGCATTCAATTGGGAGTTTGAACTAGATACCTTTCAAAAACAAGCTATTTTGTGCCTTGAGCGTAATCAAACAGTCTTTGTAGCAGCCCATACTTCGGCTGGGAAGACGGTTGTCGCAGAATATGCTTGTGCTCTCTGTCGACGTCGGGGCACAAGAGTTATCTATACGAGTCCGATTAAAGCTTTATCGAATCAAAAGTTTTATGATTTCAGGTATAGTGTTTTCACCGTATCTTGGGATGAATCGCGTTTTAATTTGGTAGCTAATAGCTTCTTATTTTTTAATATTTTGTGTGAACCTTGAAAAATGTGGTTCTTATTCTGTTTTCAATTTTTAATAGGTGTCTTTAAATAAAAAAAATAGTGTTTAGTATTTCAGTTATTTTAGACCATCTCAAATTGAAACTAGTGAAGGTACCACTTGCGAAATCATACTACCTACAACCTAATAATCACAGTCTCCTTTTAAGACTTTGCTCTACCAGCCCGACCGTAGCTGCTACGTTGACGCGGTGGTCGGGCTTGCCTATCGTGATGACCCAACCGAGCTATATTGGCTGGAACACATGTTCCTGCAGGTTCTACCATGCCAGGCAGGTCGATTGGAGAACGGTAAGACTAAAAGCAGCAACTCAAGGTCTGAGGGCGAAGTCGTACTGCTGACTGTACAGAGGTGTGACAGAAGTAGGGTGTTTCCCTCGGACAACCAGCATCTGCAGCGATGCTGCCTTCTCACAAGGAAGGAAGGGGTTAGAAAAGGTCGACCCTAACGTCCGGACACTGTGCCAAATAGGACAACAGGCTTCCTTAGCTAGGACTTTAGAATCTCGCTCCATCGATGTGTGCTGCGTCTCCGAAACGCGCACACAGAATCCTAGTAGTGTCATTCACTTGACCGCACCATGTCAAAGTAACGAGCCAACTCGATTTACGCTTCGTGTGTCTGGGAACCCTGAAGCTGCTTCCCGTGGCCTCGCTGGCGTAGGTATAGCATTGAGTCTTAGGGCAGAACTAGCTCTCTTAGGCTGGATCCCAGTAGACAGTCGTTTGTGCGCTGTCCGACTAAACGGAACAGTAAGGACTCGGAAAGATAGGGACACTCGTCGTTGCCTCTTCGTCGTCTCTGCCTACTCTCCCACTGACTGCAGCTCAGATGATGTAAAAGATGAGTTTTACAGAAAGCTTTCCGACCTTCTCCGAAAAGCTAGGCTTTCAGATGTAGTAATAGTGGCTGGTGACTTTAATGCTCAAGTAGGTAAACTAAGCGAAAGGGAAAAACACCTGGGTGGATCTTATGGTGTCGCGGCTCAAAGAACAGATAACGGCGACCGTCTGTTGCAGCTATGCTCAGATAACTGCGTGTTTCTTGCAAACACTAACTTTAAGCATAAGGAAAAACATCTTTTGACATGGCGACCCCCTAATTCGTCTCAACGCTGGACCTAAATAGATCACATCGCTATCAGCCTTCGATGGAGGGGCTCGATAAAAGACTGTCGCTCATTCTGGAGCACATGCTTAGACTCAGATCATGCTCTAGTGCGAGCGCGTATTTGTCTACGTCTTGCTGGACGTAGGAAACATGCTGCAAGGAAACCCCTTAGGGTCCTACTTAATGATAGTCAAGCTAAGAGTATATTTCAGGAACAACTAGAAAAACAGTTAGGCAGCTATGTAACTGATGCCCACCCCAAGGCAGCGTGGAATGACATCCGAAAAGCTGTAGAAACAGCAGTGATGTCTGCTAGTACGGTAAACCATAAGGTTAGGGAGAAACACTGGATCTCAGCAGCGTCTACCGCACTGATAGATGCTCGAAAACTCATTCCATCTGGCTCTGAACATAACGAAGAGCGGAGTCAGCTTAAGCGTAAGCTGACTAGAAGCCTACGCAATGATCGTGAACAGTGGTGGGTAGCGAAAGCAAGAGATGGAAAAAGCAGCGGCAATAGGTAACAGCAGGCAACTGTTCAGACTTGTTAAGGAAACCGGTATTAGGAACCCAACTGTTAGCGCAATAATCTCAGAGAAAGATGGACATATTATTCATTCTCAATCCAAGAGATTGGATCGATGGGCAGAACACTTTAGGGATCAGTTCAACTGGCTTTCAGCCACACTTCGGTTTCCCACGATCTCCAATATACCTGAATAGCAAATTAATGTAAGTCCTCCGACTCTTTACGAAGTTGAAAAAGCTATAGGAAATCTGAAGCGTGGGAGAGCAACAGGCCCTGACAGGTTTACCCTTGATATTTATAAGGATGGCGGTCCAGTATTAGCAGCGAGATTGACTGAGGTCTTAGGTAGAATCTGGGAACTGGACGTAATCCCATCTGACTGGTCTCAATCACTGATTGTGCTAGTCTATAAGAAAGGACAAAAGTCCTCCTGTGACAATCACAGAGGAATTAGTTTGACTAATATAGTGTCTAAAATATTAGCTTCAATAATAGTTCGACGCCTAACCAAAGCTCGTGAAGAGCAGACTAGAGAAAACCAGGCTGGTTTTCGACCTGGACGTGGTTGTATTGATCAGATATTCACATTACGTCAGGTTCTAGAACATAGACACACATTCAGACGCCCCTTAATGGTAGTATTTCTCGACCTTAAGGCGGCATTTGACTCTGTTGATCGTGAGGTTCTATGGCAGTGTTTGTCACTGAAGGGAGTACCAAAGAAGTACATCAACCTTATAAAGGCTCTCTATTCGAACACGACTGGTCGAGTGAGAGCTTATGGTGAACTGTCATCAGAATTGATTACCTCAAGTGGTGTTCGTCAGGGCTGTCCACTCTCTGCATTCTTGTTTAACTTTGTCGTTGACGTCCTTTTAGAGATGACACTTTCCTCATCTAAATTTCCAGTTGAACTTCTACCGGGAGATCCACTTGTTGACTTAAAATATGCCGATAACATAGTTCTATTTGGTGAAGACGCTGACAAAATGCAGAGTCTGCTGACCACTCTAAGCAACAATGCAGGCATGTTCGGGATGCGATTTTCTCCCTCGAAATACAAAATGTTGCTTAAGGATTGGGTTGTATCGACACTCAAACTAGTGATAGGGAGCGAAGTACTTGAGCGTGTCGACTGCTTCACTTATCTTGGGAGTCTCACCAACCCATGTGGTCTGGTATGTGACGAAATCTCAGCACGGATACAGAAGGCTCGACTAGCTTTTGCCAACTTGCGTCATTTGTGGCGTAGGCGAGATATCCGTCTATCAACCAAAGGACGTGTTTACTGTTCAGCAGACGATAACAACCGATGGTTAGAGACCTTGAATGACATGGCTCAAAATCGTTTGCAATGGCGCAGGTGCATCCACTCTCTGTGTTCTCTCAAACTCTAATCTTCTGAATTCTTCATGTCCTTTATTTTCTTTCCAAATCTATTCCACTGGACCATACTCCTTAAATAACATCATCAAACCTTAATGTTCCCTATCACTACTTATACTTTCACTACCTCTACCACTATGGGATTTGAATCGATAACTGAATGTCTGTGCTAATGTGGTATGGCAACTCGAACTGATGTACGTACGTACGAAGTTCCACGTTGTTACTGACTGACTGCTCTAACAATGGATCTTATCTATCAGGGATAAGCTTTTGTTTTAATAAGTGGTACTTTCTAACCTAATGGTTAGTAGCACCATGTGAACGATAATAGATCAAGTCAATAGTAACCATCGTTTTTAGGATCCCTAGAGGAATTTATTATCTCAGGAGCATGCTCTTAGACAATGTTTTAGTCCAAATGTACCCTAATAAAAAAATTTAGTACCGTATTAAAAATGTGTCTAAAGATTGACCAGACATTCCAGTGGCGGATGATAGAGCAATCAGCGTAATAAATGATGGCCGCAGAATTAAATACGATAAGGTAGTGGTAATAAGCAAAACATTGGACGGTTGTTTACACCTAACAAAGAAGCTAAGTAAGAAGCTGATAATACAAATCATCGTTGAATGTAATCAGTCAAGATTCCATGCTCATAGCAAACGGCTGAAACGATTGATCGAATACTGACCAGTCTTAATTCTCTCATCATTTAGGCATAACGACGTTGGGATACAAGAATCCCTCTCTGCTCATATTAAGGTTGAAAAAATGGCGGTTTGTATTCGGTACTTCCGTTCTTTTTACTGTGACATTCACTTATATCTAGTGGTCGTTCTTCTAGTTATTTGTATTGTGTGTTTGAACTTGAGGGCTGTGTTGAGATTTTTTGGCGTTGGTTTATGAGAGTCAATAAAAACTTCCATTTGAGTTAGTTTCACAATGTACTAAACCACTTTACTATCCCATTGTTAAGGTACGTATCTGTAGTGTTTTTATATTCCTTAAGTAATCCTGGTAATTAGATTCCTAAGTGAAATGAACAGTGCTTAACTGCATATATCTTACATATCGTTTTTCAATAACTTTCTCTAGACAAACCTTTTACTACTGAAGAATAGTATATAATTTTGTCTTTACTGTGTGCTACACCAAACACTTTTAGTTTTAATAATTAATCTGGAAAGTGAAGAAACAAATTCGGGTAGTGAAAAGTATTAAATTACATAAAAGCCTAAATTTTAGCGTTAAAATACAATTCAATACGTCTGCCTGATGCCAGCTATAACTAACAGCAGACTGTTGCTAACCTGGTTTGCTCTCTCCTAACTACAATTTTCATATTTTATTGAAATGGATTGTAGACAGACGTTTGGAGATAGTGTTGGACTAATTACAGGTGATATCAAACTGGCTCCCGAATCTACAATTCTAATAATGACCACGGAAATTCTGCATAACATGTTGTGTAACGACGCTGATGTTATCAGAGATCTGGAAATAGTCATTATGGACGAAGCAAGTGTTTTTTAAATATTTATTGCCCATATGTTCATAATTTTTTTCATACTGATTTATTTATTTATTTATTTGAACACATAGATATTGGTACAAAGGGGCACCGAATAAATATGCGCCACACAAGTCACTTGATTTGTGTATGGGCTGTGATACTGCTCGGGTGCCCCGATCGAAACAAAATGCAACTCAGCATTTACATATTTATAAACCCAGCTGTATCCCACGGTATTAATTTTCCCAAAAACCTTATAGATAATGTGATTTATAGTTGAATCTAGTTTAACGATGTACAACACTAGAAATTAGTCTTGTAATTGGGCAGACTTTTCGATTTTGGTTTTTAGTCCATAAACCATGTGTCAAGCTTAAAATGCCTTTGTAAGCGAGTAATGTTTAAAATGCATGATCTAACAGTCGTGAACTAAGGACAATTCAATAAAATACATAGGCCAATTTTCTTTTTACAATTGTATTTTTGTAATTTGTGTCATTTTTTGATTATTTTAGCTTATTTAGTAACGTACTCTATTTCGTAAAATCATTTCACAGAAACAAACTGTATAAATCCTTATGTTATCAAATGTCTATGACTTCGTAACATTGATCATAAATTTTAGTTACACTGACACACCTTACTTCATTGAATACAACAAAGTGGTAACCTAGTGCAGTGACAATGTACACTACTGTCTTCTTGTTCCAGATCATGGGCTGAATAAGATTAATAAGATATTTAGCTAACTGAGAAATCTTATCGTCAGGTCCACATGTTTCCAGATTATTGTTTGACCTGCTACTATTTGAAGATAAACAAATCATTTGTGGTAATCATATATTTTAGTGCTTATCAAACTTCATATGTCCCATAATTGATTAACTTTTATCTTTATTAAAACGTCTTTTTATCTATATCCAATAGATGTGGCTCCCAGTAAAATAAAGGTACATGAATACAAACGAAATAGACACAACTTCAGCTTAGATGCTACAATTTGTTCAATATGTAAATACAATCTGAATGTATCTGCTGGATTGTGATTGATCTCAGGTCATGCTATCATTTTTTGAATTCATAAAAAAATCGGATCATCTTCGATGTTTGATTCTCCCCCAGGATCTCATTCACGTAGCGTTCAATGCTTATATCAGCAGTTAGTGGCGTAATAATCACTATATCTCAATCTTTCCACACTTCCCCTCTTTCTCTGACCCTATCGTATTCAGCAGTACACGAAGTGGCAACCTAACATTCTCAACGAATATCTTGACCACTTTAGTCGATTGATTTATCTCTTGTTTTGGACCTAGCTTTATGTTGACAGCACCCAATCATTGGTTTTCCTTTACACGATTATATTCTAAATACACAGTATATACTTTATGTGTGTTGGCCATTTCTCTTAACTCTATTTTAAATTATAACTTACCGTTACGTTGTATAGTTGCGCTTTGATAGGTAGTTTATTTTTCGAATATGGAGACTTGCTAGTGGGCTTATTCACTTCGGTCTGTGCTGTCTGACTTAGTGACTGACTGCCACAATGTTGACGCACCAACTAGGCGCCATTATTGTGATGACGTGGTGAAACTATACTGAATACAATGCTTATTTACTCAAGTTCTATAATGCTAAGAACATAGTTCTGAAAATAACTTGACGGGACGTTTCATTCTGATTAAATGTTTTCATAATCCAATCGTTATTTTCTTACTGATGTTATTATTTATAATCTCAATCTCTTCAGCTTTTCGACCCATAAATATGCTTTAATATCAACCACAATGTATTTTGTTCGTTTTTTTTTTGCTAAGCATTTATTACAACTTTATTAACTGATGTATTTGCGTTTTCTACTTGAAATCTTACTATTATTGTAAGCAAAGTGGAATCCAGGACGCGCGGTTCATCCTATTCGATACTCGTTAACTGGATTTACCTGCATTCCAGAGTTAATATTCACTCCGAGACTCAAATCCAATTTTGTTCGCTTCAAACGTAATTGCGTTATCCACTTATGTTATGTCCCGATAAGCATAATGAATGATAACTTTTGGGATCCATTTATGGACCAATACTATATGTATATTTTTATTGTATAATTGTTATGTAACTAAACTATTCATATCCGTATCCCTCTTATTATAGGCTTTATTTTGACCTATGAACTATTACTATACGATTTACCATTCTTGAATTATGCCCTGTCTATTAATTACTACCTCCCTCATTCACAGCCTAATTTGGCTAATTCTTGTACAAATGTTGTTTCATATTTTATGGTACGGTGTGGTCTATCTGGTTGGTATATAAACCCAGTATGCTTGAAATAAATGATTCATGTCTCAGAGGCTCGGATTGGTGTTCTGGATTTAACTGGCTGGGTTAGGCAGGAAGCAGGGCCAATAAGGACTTTAGACTGCTCGTACGGGTTTACGTGTCATTGGTCCGATCGATAATCCACTGCTTTCTAATTGGTGGTATCGTTACGTTATACAATAACAGGGCACTCAGGCCACAAGTTATAACAACTTAGCTACTGAGTCCTTCTAGCCACTAGGTTGTGTAATTGGGTGAAGTATTAATTCATTTTTGTATTGTTTGTTCAAATCTTCCTATTGATGTATAGAATTGCAATCGACCAGTCTGTTATTGGCATATGTGCATCCTTTGCGGATTAGTTGTAAATGTCGACTACTCAGAATAGTTACTAAAACTTCATAAGTTCATTTTATTGTGTAAATTTTACTGTTCTTGCCTTGTTTAACTCATCAAGGAAACTAGATATTTTGATATAATTGGTCAGTTACTCATATTTTAAACAATTTTAATCTCCAACTACTATTATATTTATGAACTAAACAGTTGTAATCTATCATAGTTGTTTTGTTTAATGTATTTACAATCTGTTTTTCTAATTATGTAGCCAACCAAGGTAATAGTTACTTTTTATGTATTGTTTTAGTGCTCAAAATGTTTATATGTACACGTATATTTCTCTTTCTCTACAGGTTCATTATGTCAATGATGTGGAAAGAGGTCATATATGGGAACAAATTATGATAATGCTGCCTAAACATGTGTTATTAGTTATGTTAAGTGCAACAGTTCCTAATAAACTTGATTTTGCTGATTGGTTAGGACGTGTACGTGGAACTGAAGTTCATGTAGTTGCAACTAATAAACGTCCAGTTCCATTGGAACATTTTATTTTTACCGGTATGGATGGTCAACGTAGTAAAGATCATCTTCATCTAATTGTAGATCAAGCTGGTCAATTCAATTTACCAGGTTAAGCTGTTTTCTTTTTAATGATATATATATATATATATATATATATATATATATATATATATGTATATATATATATTGAATAGTTTTTGTCTTCATGTTCATATTGCTATTCGTAAAGGTTTCACATTTAGACAAACATTAGTTTTTTATCTCTCCTCAACCTCATACACCCACAATTCCAGCTACGAATCGAACACAAAATCTATTTATATTTATGATCAATTTATGATTGCAAACGTTAATTCATGTGTTTATTTTTATCAGTATTTATTATTATTAATATTGCTTAAGTCATTATCGCTTTAATTCGTATCCTGATCATGAAGGAACTGTGAATCCTCTTATTTCCACCCAGTAAACCGCTAGAGCTCATATATCAGACTTTGAACACTTTCATTATCTATATGAGATAAATATTATTTAAGGAATCCCTTTCATAGGAACTGCAAAACCTGTTATGGAAAATATAACTTTTCTCTCTTCATTGTAAGTTTCAGTTAATATGTCGTTGTTTTTCCGGTTTCTACTATTTGCGTTAGAGTTGTAGGCATTGTAGCATTAGCTTGTTGGCTTGTATAGAATATAGGAATACAATTAGAGCTATGTAAACTGTCATCTAAAAAATAATTTATAAATGCCTTCAAAACGATTTACGAACTGATTCACTAAAAAATAACTCCCGAAATATCATGTTTTCTTTTTCTCACACCTTTCTTACATAAATATAGGTTATAAACAGGCGAATCGTATGCTTAGCGGCGAAAAAGATGTTGATAAAAAGAAACCTACTCAAAATTCGGCAAATCCACCGAATGCTAAAAACGTACCACGAAAGAATACTGGTGGTAAAGTGAATACTCCAGGTCATTTCCGTGCATTACCACGTAAGCTGTAGAGAATTATTTTAGATCAGTATAAGGTTGTTGAGTTTCATTGAGATCAGGAACCGACCAATATTAGACCACCATGAGAATCTGGAAGCACTGGATGATGTTTTCGTTCTAGTATGGGACTCAGCAGTGCGCATCCACAGTCTCGCATGTGATAATCGAACCCAGGACTTTCGATATCGCGCGCAAACGCTTAGCCTCTCGACCATTTAGTTGAAAACCGACGGTGCTAATGTCTAGCTTCAACCAATTCACGATATTACACGACCACCTTTCATTTTCTTCGGTGGCCTCACATACGACACGGTTTAACACCACTAGTCACGGCTTTTCACCAAAATTACAGGAATTATCTCTCTAAGCTAGTCAATAGTAACGACATGACAATTATCAGTATAGGGTTGTGGAGCTCGTTAAGTTATTTCAGGTTTTCATTGGTCGGTTCATAATTTCAGTGAAATTATTTGATCATTATATGTGCTTTGTGTACACCTAATTCAAATTACAACTCATTTTTTATCACTACACCACATGGACAGAAATTATGGGTCCAGAAAAGTACTTACAAATGGTCGAAATATTTCATATTGTGCGTCGTGTTTAAAAGTTAGCCTAAAGAAATCCTATTGTATGTACCTTTCTAATCGATTTTAGCTGAGCCATTCGAATCATTAGCGTTTGAGTTTTCTTTGTCCTATTTTAACCTAATATTCTTGTACACAAAAATCAGTATATCACCCAACAATATTTCCTGCAGAAATCGTGTTACGTTTAGATGAATTAATAACATGTAACACTTGTTCTCTGATAAAATTTCTATATATCAGGATAACAGAAACAATTACCTGATCATTGCATTCCTAGGTTGTATTTCAGTAGTCAATGTTAAGGTGTTATTGTATGAATGGTTTTCAGTGTTATCAAAAGACATCTTTCACAGTTCGATTAATATAACGGAACTACTGATCCTATGTTAGATTCGATAGAAAATTCTCCGGAGACCAATCAAAGTTACATAGAGCTCAAGTTCATGTACTGGCTATTTTCACATGAAGTGTGTATTACTAACAATTTATATACTGTATAGCTCTCATGATAATGGCATTAGAAATTACAACATATCAACCATAAGTAGCTTAGCTATTGCATCATACTGTGTCTAATCTCTATGATAGAAAAAGACAACCATTACTTTATGTATATTCGCAAGTTATAGCCCCGTTCGGTTTAGGTAATGATATTGTCTCACTAGCTTTCACATAAATTATGTATCAAAGTCTGTTACGTAAACCCTTTGCTTGGCAAATGAGTTACGTTATTATTTATTGTAATATATTGATTCAAACATTTTAAGAATAATTTCATATTTATTTGACTTCACTAGCAACTAACGGAATAAGTGTACATGATCATCGTACCAAAAATTTATGGCTTGGAGTAATTCACCTTCTTCAAGAGCGTGATCTTATGCCAACTATAGCATTTGCCTTTTCTCGATCATCATTGGAAACTCTCGCTGGTCATTTATCTTCAGTGGACTTGTTAAATTCAAGTAATCAGTTTTTGACTTTAATGCCGATTATATTATTTTTGATGTTTCTTCTAAATATATTCATCTATCCGTTAAGTGCCCGTTATTGAAAAGGTCATTTAATTGGCAATAGAGCTCATCCTTGAATGCATCCACGTTATAATCTGTCAGGTCGTAGGCAAAGATTACGAAAAGACATTATTAACCACATTAGTTTCTCAGTTTCATCTATCCTAAATTAACAACACATAAGTAACCACCAACGGGAATCCGATCGATAAATCTAAGCTTGGCTCTGATATCAGAAGCCAATACTACAAAGTTCCTGATAAAGTTCACATGGTACAGACGTATAAAATCGAAAGATATAGATAGTACAGATTGTACTTCGACGAAACCATTAATACACGTCTCGGATATACATCATATATCAATATCAAATTTTTTCGTGAACTAAACCTATAAATTTTTTGATTTTGATCAAATTTGGAGCGTTAAAAGAGGCATGCCTAAATGGGGTACGTAGCTTTAGAAAATCTGACAGATCTCATATTCATTAATAACATCCTTGAAATTAACTATTCAGCAACTTTAGACCGTTTAGACTAAGATTCAATAAAGACGACGTGATTAGTAAATTGAAGAATAAAAAGTACGCACAGAATGTTAGTAAAATAAAAGAAAAGTTCATCGTTTTTAAAATAAATTCACCTCAAGTAAAACGACTTCAAATATTTTTATTATGGATAGTGAGGCGAAACGCTCAGTACATTTTCATTCCAATTATTCATCATAGTACGTGTATGAGGTAGAATGCTGCCCTGACACCCAGACCCAAAGATCACTCCCTGAGCTTTTGACTTAAAAGTTCTATCTACCTCAGCGAAACAGTGTCAGGAGATATTGTCTTTTGGTAACCGGCAAGCTGAGTAGTTATGTACGATATTCGTTCCTTCATGTTCCTACAGTTCATCGGCATTACTGATCAAGATTGTTAATATTTTAAACTAGGGACTTGTTTCTTCTTTGTGATTATAATATAATATGCTTCAATAAGAAGTTAAGTTTGCTTTGTGGTTTCTTTCACATCTAAAAACAGGTGAAAAGCAACAAGTTAAAAAATTTCTGCATTGTTCTGTCACTAAACGATTAAAAAGATGTGATCGTCAACTTGCTTCAGTTCAGTTTATTAGTAAATTAGCTGTTAGAGGATTAGCTGTTCATCATGCTGGAATGTTGCCTATTTTGAAAGAGGTGAGAGTTATGTTTTATAATTTGTGAAATTTCTTAAAAGCTATTTGTCAACCGATATTTTTTGCACGTTAACTTTTAAAAACTAAAAATGGGACACTTTGTAGTTATGGGCCTTCAAATTACCCTCCTTATACTCAAACGTCTACAATGTATGACATTTAGCTGAACCTACATTTTCATTTCACCTTAACCATAGCAGAATATAAGTCATTCTGAGACTTCATCATTTTCAGTCTGTGGCTATTGTCTATTTACTTGTTCACTACTAATATCGGATAATATATACATACCTCGGTTCTTGTTGGATCTATTTTAGTAGACTTCACATCATGAATCTTGTTGGCCAATTACAGGTGCCTATGTACTGTGTTTTATTTTGATAATCCCTTCAAATTGATCTGAATTTTTGATCAGATCAGTTAACAATAAAAGACAAACACTCTTATGATAGCCATCAGGAAGCCAATTTGACTAACATAGTCTCTACAATCCCATAGTTCATGATTATTTCATGCATTAATGGTAGCTAGACAACAGTAGATCCGTAATAAACTATATGATTTCAGGTCTAAGCACGAGGTGTATCCATCAGATTACCGTCTTATTTATTGTCTTGAGACACTGAAAAATTTTACAGCTTCAAATATCATCTATATTCATTGACTTATAATTCGGCATTGGACTCAGTTTATATGGTAGTTGATGGTGTTATTTACTTATGCTATACGATCTTATTTGTAAATAGAAAGTTGTTGCATCAATAATCAAGTTATTGAAAGTCACGTAATAAACAGATAATAAGATGCACTAGTAAGGAAGTAGATTTTAGACGAATAGGCGTGAAGGATAATTGTACTTATTGATCAAAGAACAATCAATTGCTAGTTTTATGGGTCTCTTAAGGAGTGTGCATCCACGGTCTCGTACGCGGGATTCTGACCTGGGACCTTCGATATCACGTGCGAGATCGTTAGTGCACAGTGCTGAATAGTCTCATACCAAAACGAACTCGCCGCCCAGTGCTTCCAGGTTTTCATGGTGGTCTAACATTGGTTGCTCCCTGATCTCAATGAACTTCATATGTTGAGGTAATTAATTTGTTTTAGCCCGTGAATTTAACAAATGACTTCTTATAGTTTCCTTTTTTAAATAAAGTGATATAACTCAGAATCAGATTTTGTAGTGTAGATTCATTCGCTGTCAGTCTTCCTTTAAATCGTTAGCTTTAAATTATTCTGTACTTTTTATTCTGTGAATTCGTTCTTTATTGGCGAATCATGTTGTCTAGACGTAATCTTTTTTGCTACAATTGATCCTGTTACTACTTCTACTACTGCTTTGCCGTTTGTCTTAAGATATGGTGTGGTATATGACGAGATTCATTAATGTTCCAAACTCTACGTTCTTTATGATTGGCTGTTAATGCCATATTTGGGGAGATTACGTGATCACTTAAAAATCGGCGAACGGAACAAAGGATCAGCAACACAACGATAAGAGAAGCTAAACTGTTCACTGCTCCCCGGATTCAGTCGAGGGGAAAGTAGGTTCTACAAGCAGTTAAAAGCACTAGTGAACAAGCACACAAATCAATCGTATATATGCAGCATAAAAATGTCCCTGATAAACCTCACAAAATAGCGTATTAAAGTGGAAATAAACCTATAAGGGAAATACAAAGTAAAAGTAAAAATAAAAATAGACGCTTTTGGAGCGAAAATGAGAAATTCGAATTTTCAAAAATAAAATTACAAAAATAAGACGTTTACCAAGTGATTTCTAGGGACCTATCATCCTCAACAGTTAATTTTTACATTCACTTTTTATTTGACCGTGTATCAGAGCTAGTGGTTTTGTATTTTTATTCATGAAAGCGTACTTTATTTTGTTATTTTACACAATATTAGACAGTGGAGATGTTATTTCGACGTGGTTTAATCAGAATTTTATTTGCTACTGAAACATTTGCGATGGGTGTAAATATGCCGGCTCGTTGTGTCATCTTTACTACATTAGAGAAATTTGATGGTCAAAAACGTCGTCCTTTAAATTCAAGTCAGTGTTTATTTTATTTTATTTCTAGTTTCTTTTCTTTTTCACGTTCTTACTTAAATATTCAATCTTTAATGTTGACAGAGGAAAGCTTTTATCTGACAATTCAGTAACTTGATTAAATAGTGCTAGACTAGTTCAATAATTTCATGTCACGTTTTAATTTCATACCGCCCTAATGTGATTTAAGCTACCTTACTATATAAAGAAGTTCCACTTCTGTACTTTTATATCCACTGGAATAACTCACTCGAGATCAGTGAAGATTAGAAGACTCTCTTGTCTTCTCCAAATATTTATCATATGATTATGTATCTGAAAAATAAATGATTGTTCACTAAATAATGATTAACTAGTGTTTAAAAGAGCTCATATTCATAGTCATAAGCTCAACAATAACAGTAACCAAGCGGGCAAACGCAAAATGGATCATTTCAATATGTTCGGGCAGATGAGAATTGTCTTAACCAGGAGTTCCATACTAGGACCAGGTTTTCAGTGGTGGTTTAGCTTAGGTAGACTGATTAATTCAACTGTGGAAAATTACTACAATCTCCATTCTGACAACGTACAATTAACAATTGATGAAGTATAAGCAGGAAATTACAAGATGAAAAACTATTTACTCATGGGTAACACACCTATAATACACAAATCTCACATATGTGTTACAGTTTGTATTACTCTACATTATTATTAAGTTAATGGTATTTAGTTTTATATTTATTGAACAAGACTATTATTTTTTAATTGTTGATATAGTTTATCTGTTGAGAATGAAGGAAGATTGAGTTTTTTTAGTGAATTCACCATTTAATCAGTTGTACAATTTGTAACTGTTTTTTAAGAAAATTAGTTGAAATTTGTACACTTGCTTGTTTTATGTTTATTATGTACGTTATCATGAAGATTTTTATGGTGTAACTTCAAGTAAATTTCATCTTTTAGAGAAAGCTTTCTGAATTATTATTGTCCACTACTTTTGTTAGTTACTATATTTAGTTAAGTATATCTTGCCAAATTATTGACAGATTATATATAAAGTCAGTGTCGTTATGTAATCTTTATTGATCACCAAAATATTCTTTAAATCCACAGTTGTACATCGATCGACCTCTAGTGTACTGTAGACTAAGGTGAATACATTTTCGACTTGTAGAATTCAATGAACGCTAATTAAAGTACAATTCATTATTGCCCAATTTACGTAGAGAAATTCATTATAGATTATTCATAAGGTATTTTATAGTAAATGAATTTCGACTGACAGGATGCCTTTTTTATCCTAGAAATTGCAAAATAGTTATATCAAGATAATCCGTACAAAATGGACATGTAACAACAAAGCCTGATCAAAAACTCAGTCCTATCTTTCAAAAACGCAATAATACTAATTATGGCATAAACATCGCACTCATTTAGAAATTGGTGGCTATATGGATTTATTAGTTCAGTGGATAATGAGCTATTATTTGAAGAAAGGTGTGGTGTTCGAGTCCCAGAATTTCTCTCTCTCTCTCTCTCTCTCTCTCTCTCTATATATATATATATATATATATATATATATATATATATATATAAGGATTGAACAGAAATTCTGTTGTGAATGCCAATAGCGTAATAATCCAAGCTTTTATTAATAGTGATATATTGTTAGATAGTTTATGTTTATAAATTAAATCACTGTAAACTTTTTCCATCTTTTTATTTCCCCTATCAACTCGTTTAAAAAATGTTTCATGCTTACAGGTGAGTATACACAAATGGCTGGACGTGCAGGTCGTCGTGGTTTAGATGCTTCCGGTTCTGTAATTATTCTACTTGGTGGAATTGGTAAATCACTTACACCAAGTAGTTCGGGTTTACCATCTGAGCATACACTGAGTGATATTATTCTTGGAAGACAAACTCAATTAGTTTCGAAATTTAAAATCACCTACTCTATGATATTACATTTACATCGAACTAATTGGTTAACTCCACAGGTAATTTCGTTATTGATAATAAGTGGACACATTAATTTTATGTGTACTTTATTTTTCATGTTATTTAGTCTTTTTACAAAGAATGATGATCTATTCAGCTGAAATCCAATGTATGGCATTGTGTAATAATTTTCGTTTGTTTTCCTTTGTCTGTTTACGTGTATGTGGTACATATTGGTTTGCCTGTTTTGCTACGAAATTAATATTAAGAATGGTTAGAGACCTTGAATGACATGGCTCAAAATCGTTTGCAATGGTGCAGGTGCATCCACTCTTTGTGTTCTCTCAAACTCTAATCTTCTGAATTCTTCATGTCCCTTTTTTTCTCTTTTCAAATTTATTTCACTGGATAATACTCCTTAAATAACATCTTCAAACCCTAATCTTTCCGATTACTACCTATACTTTTACTACCTCTGCCACTATGGGATTTGAATCAACAACTGCATCTCTGTGCTAATGTGGTATGACAACTCGAACTGATGTACGCACGTACGCAGTTCTGCGTTGTTACTGACTGACTGTCTGGAATATTAAGAATTTGATTTTAATCTCTGTGTTCGTTTGCAATTACTTTTTTTAATATATGTATATGCATTAACAAAGGATGTAATGCGACGAAGTTTCATGGAAGCAGCCAATCTTAGACGTGAACTTGACCGTAAGCAATGGTTGTCAGCTTTACGCAAAAAACTGGATGAAACAACTACTCGTATACTACCTGCTGGATTGTCATCAAATATACCTCATCAAGTTGCTCGTAGTTCAAATAGTAAAGTTACAATATCTATGAATAATAATTCTCGTTTATCTGTACCAATTGGTGAACCTATTTTACAAGTGAAATGCCCTTTTGGTCAAATAAGCTGTTGTGATGCAATGACTACTTATTATCAGGTTAGTTTCTTGTTATATATATATATATATATATATATATATATATATATATTGTTTATTATAATATTGGTGTTGTAAACTTCCAACAAATTATTATCTTCATTGTGTTAAAGTTTCACACAAGATATTTTATTACTAGACGATCAAATCGCATAAAAATTGGATTAGTCCTTTTACTACTTTCCAATTTTCTTTGTTATCAGACATCCAGATTGTATAGGAGAATTAGAAAAACACTTTTTTATGAAGTTAATTACGCTAGGTTGTGTTAAACAGCTTGTAAGAGTGAATAATTTATTTCATAATCCATGAAATAAGTGGGTCCTGCAAGAGATCAACAGATTGCATGTTCAACATGTTGCAAAATCAAACATATGTCATTTGTGTTTTGGTAATATTGATAATGCCAACATGTATATATGCATGTAATTGAATAAATTTAAATTAGATTTTATATTTATTTTAGAATAAAATATCTTCGTTATGTGTTTAATAAGAAACCAAACTATTTAATTGAAACGTTTCAGTTCTCTTAATCCACAAGGATTAATCCTGTTTTATAGTAATTAAAAGAAACTATATCTATTCAGTGTTCAATTTTTGAAGTGGAAAATTTCATTAAAACGACTTTGTAATAGTTTTTAATATTTAGTTTTTAGGTGTGAGGATAATCATCCGTTTTTGCAATATTCAATAAAGGTTTAATATCTAGCATTTTCTCGTTCATTTAGTAGGTCAGTGCTACATATTACGAGTGCCATTTTCTCGAGGGATTTCATTTCAATCATATTAAATTATTCTCATATGGCTTCTATGAACACACCCTGTAGTTCACACACATTTATAATTAAGGGGCAGATACACTAAAAATCCATGAATCCGTATTCTATCGTAATTACCTTATATTGTTAATATGGAGACTGGGCATTACCACCTATTATTGTTAATTGGTCAAAAAATGAACGATAAACAGATTTGCGTATTTCGGATTTCCTCCTTTGTTTGATGCTTGTCAACTTTACATACCTATATACTGCGGGTACTGCTTTGTTTTTTATTCATACCGTTACCCAGATCATCTTGAGTGCTCTTAGAGATATGGGGACGGCTTTCACTTCCCGGCTCTCCAAATCATAGAAGGATATTCCTTCTCGAGAGACTTGAAAAGGAAACTGAGTTAAGTTACCCGGGAGCGTAATTACAGTGCACGAGAAACAACTGCTTGAAGCCGGTCACACTGACTTTTTTATAAGTTAGATGAGTACTTAGCAAATTTTACCACCGGAGACGAAAATCCATGGGGTAAGGTAAGGTGTAACATTTTCAGGGTTGACTTTTTTTTAACCCTTTTCCTCCTTTGTGGGCAGTCAGCAGTTTCTAGTTTTTTGTGATAAATAACTTACTGACACCATACCTCTCTAAAGTCACTAGTATGACTTCACTTTCGAACATTGAGTTGCTGCTTTTAATCTTACCGTTCCTCAACCGACCTCGGCATGGTAAGACCTAAAGTTACATATGTTCTAGCTACTGTAGCTTGATTAAGTCATCATCAAACTCAACCATCTCATCAAGGTAGATGTTACGGTCGGAGTTTTCGATGTATGACGACGGACCACGGGTGAACTCGAGGAAGCTGTAAGAGGCTCAAAAGAAGCCGAAGATATTCCATCCAATCACCCTTCTGAAGAATATTCTAGAATTCCCACTTGTAGCTTCCCGATTGGACAATGCTAATAACTCCTTGTATGCGGATTGGAGGACTGTAATGATGATTTCATTCTCACTGAAAACTATAAATACCTGACAATTTTGTACTATAATTGACACTGTTTGGAATAACATTCCTTTCATTAGTCTTCTGTTTTCTCCTTGCGACTTGGAAGGGTTTTGACGTTCTAGTGCTCAGTTATACGCGGTATATCAAGAAAACAGCCTTCTAGATATAACACGATGATTGCTAAAAATTAATCACAATGTAAAGTAACCAATTTCATATTATCTATGGTTCACTGCTTTTCAATATATTTCTGAAGCTATGCTGTATTAACACAGAATGTCAATAATTAATCTCACACATACATACCTACACACACACATACAATTTGTTGTTTCAGTTAATTATTTCCATATAGCTGAATTTTTCACATGATTTGTAGTTAATTGACTCATTTTATCCTATTTTACAAAAATCAACATCCAAATTTCATCGGTTTAACAAAGTGTAGTTATGATTGTTAAAAGCTATCTATTTCTTTAATGATTTTGATTTTTACCCTGAAGAAGTCCAGACAAGTTAGCTGGACGAAACGTTGGAATTATTTAAATTTAAATCGCTGAGATTATTTCAAATATAATATTCACATATTATACTTTGTTAGTCCAAGTATTTTTTTCAATGTACCAAAAAAGTGACATATTTCAAGTTTATTTTGTTTCATGCACGCATGTACTTGTACATATTTTTATAATGGTCAACACTACATTTTCCTTTATTGTATATTTGGTGGGTTGTAGAGATTAAGTTTCATAATTGTACTATGACGGTGATGGATGTGAATGTTGAAAATATCCTCACCTAAGTGTGCTATGCCTTTATTTCTTTATTATTATTATTATTATTATTATTATTATTATTATTATTATTATTATTATTATTATTATTATTATATTCGCTCAGGTTACATAGGTACATATATTGTCATCAGCTTGCACATTTTAAATTGCTTTGAAATATATTTACTGTATTTTCTTTTTGTAAAAATTTAAATCGGTACGAACTTCTTTGGGGAAATAAAAGTCAAAATTTTCTTGATAATAATTATTATTTCCCTGAAGAATCTCGGAGTCGATCGGCTAGTATTGTATCGTTGAAACTAATGAAATTTCAATCAGTGAAAGTTTCGCAAATATAATTTCACATTTAATGTGTTTGTGTACTTATGTATGTGAAATAATTAGTTATATTTTCTCTCAGATCATCAGACTTTTACAAATATTATTCTTCTTTTGTTGCAAATAAATTAGGCCTGTTGCAATTATCAAAAGCTTACATCATCTATTGTCCGTTTACTTTCTGAAGAAAACCTAACTGATCTACAACGAGTATTCTGTCCAGGTCGTATAGTATTTATTAATCTACCACAAACTGATAATTCATCATTGTATAATAAAGTAACTACAAAACAACCCAATTGGTTAGTACCAGGTGTTTTGGTTAATTTAACAAAGAAAAAAATCAAGAATGAGAGTGAAATACAAGTGAGTTGAACCGATTTATTTTAGATCATACGTAAAAGACAAAATGGACTTTTCCAGTTTCATCAGTTAGTCATACGAAACGAACAACCTGGCATGTGTACATTGGTTCAAGTTGTTTAGTCCTCACATTAAATCGTTAACGTGAATCCAAGAATAGTAGGGTTAATAAGTGTTAGTAGTAATACAAAAGACTTGCTATAAAAGATGGGATTTAAGAAAATATAAATTAGTTTAATAGAAAAAAATTATGAAGGATATTCTAACACTATTTGTCCACTGGTGCTAATGAGTTGAAAATCAATCAGTCAGTCAATTTATTCCGATAGATCCTAATCAGGAAATGTAATAGTCTGGACTCGATCCTCTTGACAATATTAATTTAATTTAATCATCTAAAATACTTTGTTTTCCTTTTTTAATGCCAACAGATTATTGTTTGATTGGATTTGCGCACTTGATTCTAGTATTTGTTGTTCCTTTCTTGTAGTGCGATATTATCACTTGGGAATTGTCTAATTTACCAAATTATTCTAGATCATTTAAAAACTGTAATCAATCCGTAAATCAGACTGATTCAGTGAATAATGTAAATGGTGGAAAACAAGAGAATATTAACAATAACACTACTCAATTCAATGAATTTGATGAAGAGGATATTTTGAAAGAAGGTGAAGATGCTCAACTGTCTAATACGCCATACCCTCCACAATTAATGCCTGTTTATACACCCAAGGTAAGTATATATATATATATATATATATATATATATATATATATACTCTCGACGCATGGTCATCAGCGAGTTGCCCTGCTCTGACTGGGTCGACTATACACATCACGATTACTCACAAGAACTATGAAAATCTCTTTCTAAGTTTATTGTGACAATTCTCTTACTTACGTATGTCACTACCACGAAACACATGTTCAAGATGCACAGTTCTTTATAAGAACACCTAATTAGGTAACAAATCACATCGCTCATTAGTTTATATATGGTACTATCCAATAATTTACAGTTGCTTGGCCACTGAGTGATGATGTCAAATCCCTTTTAATGCTGATAAAATTCTATTGATCAATTTGCAATATGACCACTAATTCAAATAAAGCTGGGTGACACGTCGCCGATTCCGACAGGAAACATCAATTCCCTCAAAATTACTGGTACACTATGCTAACGAGTGTCAGATGGCACGAAACCTTTATTCAGGGTTTCCTGTTAACTACCTCTGACTTCTACCTTGCTTACTATCCAATAATCTTTGTTCCACAAATCGACAAGTAAAATGCCTGTTCTCATAATTCCACATGAAATGAACTTCATAGAAGTTTGGCACATTTGAAAAAAATGTGTCCATCAAACATTTATTTTTCAATTGACTGTCATACAGAGTTCATTATCACTAGTTCTATTGCATGCATATTTATCACTATGAAATTTTTTCTAAAATATGGTATTATTGTAAGAAGTTTTTACATTTATTCACAAGTGTTTTGAAACGGCTGATCAAGAACTTCTGATTAACAATTAACACTCGGGGATTATGTGACATTAGTAAATAATAATTGTTTAATTATGCCCACCATATTTCGCTCGTATATGAGGGAAACTGTAAGTCGAGGGTCAAATGGTAATATTTGAGATGACTCGAAACGGTTCATATTTAGTTGTATTGAAGCAATCCATTACTTATTATTATTTCCATTGTAACGTGAAAGAAAGCTTAAATGCACACGTGGCACTAAATAATATACTGATTGATATGTGATATAATTAGACGCAATTCCTCTTCACACACATAAATGAACTGATATCAAAAAATTGACTATTAGAATAGTGTCTTTTTATTTCTGGTACAATAATATACTTTTATGCAAAATATCTTCAACAAATGTTATCCTTCAAAATAATACATTTAATACAAGCCATTGATGGAGATTAAACTCTAATTTAGAGACAAGCCAGCTGTCATCTAGAGAATAACTTTTGGGTTTTTGCGTTAAATTCAAAATTGAATGACATTTCAGCAAAGTTATTCTATAGGAATGGGTGAATTAGAATTAAGGACGTGATTTTTGGGGTTTTGCACCATATTTAATTATCATATGTTGTTAAATTTGTTGCCATTTTCGGTCTTTATTCTCTTCTCATTCAGCCCATCTTTTGTACATTGCTTTATATTACTTGTTTGTATTCAGTAAACAGCTTTTTTCTAATAATTTCTGAACGTCATGCACATTTATCTGTTTGATATTCGAAAATATTTGCATAAACTAATAACATTCAGTGTATTTATCATCATAATTACTTTCTATCAACCCTTGTAACAGTGATTTCCAGTTTTATACATTTCCTAAACTTTTGTTTAAACTCAACAGTTTCAATATTTGCGTGCTCTTAGACCTCACTTTAGTTGTTGATATTGTTGTGAACATTAGGCACAGATACTTTAGTGAATGAGAACACCGGCGAGGATAACCAAGTGTATTTTAATACAACATTACAGAATATATTGGTAAAAATCTGAGAACCGTACAGTAAATACTTCATTTGCAAGATATCCATCAATTGTCTCAGACTTTGTTGTCCCTTCGTTTCCATATCAACCACTCACTTTTCTTTTTCTCTTCGGTTTTCTCAACTTTCTGTCTTCAGGCATTTCACTTTCGATTGGTGATACATACTATTTATATCTGTCGATACCAGTAGCATACACCACAATACCAACTGTCATTTACTCTATTGTAGTCATTCTTGCAGGAGAACGTTCTTTTTTCAGACGCATTAATCACCGCAGTTACCTCAAGAGTTGATGTTTGTAATCAATTTATGTCGACTCAATAATAAATGAAGCGTTCTTTAAATAAATTATTGCTTTTTGAACTTCCATTTAGTCATTAAACGATAATAAGATGTTCTTTTTCTCTTTTAACCATTCATCAAATACCATTGAAATTAAGATTTAGCTTATTCTATGCCTATATTTTATCATATATCAGTTTAGTGCAATTGTTGTGAAATTATAATTATTATCATACATAATTAAAAATTCTGCTACTTAATTAAATTTGTTATTTTAGAATTCTTTCTCGGGTAAAATTCATATAATGTATTGTCTTTTCTTGCTTCTACGTTTATTTTTCATTATAAATCCCACTAGTCAATAGAAGATGGTTATGCTCGTTTAACGCTATTATCTAATTTATCTATTCGATCATTTGTACGAATTACTGATCATGTTTTTACTGTACAGCAATATTGTAATAATACTGTAAATAATGCAAATATAACGCCATCAGAATTATTACTTCGTGGTATTAAACGTCATCGTCAGCAAATAGCAGCTAAACAAGCTGGTATGCATTTAGTGATTGGTTCAAACTCAACTGCAAGTGATTGTGATCCCCTAGTTCTTATGGATGAATTAAATGCGAATTTACTTAATCTTGTAATTTCATTGATGCCGGAACCATCATCATCATCATCATCAATGCCGGGATCTTCTATGTCACCGATGTTTGGTCTACCAGTTAACTGCCCTACTAAAGTTGATTTAAGAACATCATTGAAATTCAAAGGAATTTCAGAGGAGGTAATTATCATGTTGCACAGTAAAATTTATATATATATATATATATATATCCCAAGTGACAGGCAGTAAATTTGACTTTAGATGTTTCCTTATGATCGCCAATGTTGATCACAAGGACAGACATTTTGTTTCATAGTTCATAATTGCTCTTGATGACTAAAAAAGACATGGCCTTTATCCTATTTTTCATTTTGTCACAAGTTTGGAAAGTTTTTCTTTTCCTAGAGAGCGGTGACCTTATGGTTAAGTCCCAGGTGCAATATCCGCTACACTTAATCGGGTTTAGACATGTGGGTAGTATACCCAGAAACATGGTGAATAAGTTAATTTGTTGATCTAAAATAATTTTTTACTATTATATAAACCACGTTTATCCTTTTCCCATTGTTTCCATATTTTTGTTTATGTAAAATATTTGCATTGAGGTTTTTCAGTAGTTACTCAAGTACAGTTTTTATAATTGTTTAGTCATCACATTTATTATTGTTAAGCTGGAGTGATGACCTTTTTTTCACTAGGGACTTCTTCCAGCCACTAGCTTCCAAGTTCGAGTCCTGCCATATTTGTTTCAGTGTCAGCAACGGGGCTGTTTGACTAGTCCTCACATAGAAGGTTTGGCTCAATGTTTGGGTGCATAAACCTCTTAGTGAGTTACATCATCATCATTGTGAAGCTGGATTTTAAGTTCACAGTCTACCAATCTGTTGAAATATGAGTGCTTCAATCTCTTCAAACCGTCATAATACAACTGTCACTATCTATAAATAATTTCCTTGTGATCATTTAAATTTTTAGGATGCTTGTATGTTTGATGAACACGCTTTACTTAGTGATGAGCTAACAACACCACTTCTAACATCGGTTATTACTCAACGTTTGGCTCCAATTACTTGTCCTGATCTTGTAGCACATTTGGAACTGATTCATCGTACCTGCCGTCGAAGATGGGCTGTAAAACGAATTGAAGATAGTTTATCTAATTCTCAGTTACAATTAAATACGGAGTATGTGGGTCGTTTGTGTGTTCTTAAAGAATTGGGTTTTATCGATTCAGCAACACATACTGGTTGTTTGAGTTTAAAAGGTTAGACATTGTTATTATTTTTATCATATACTGTATTTTAAAATGTAAGGAAAAAACTTTTTGAATGGTATGAAATTATATGCATTATCGCTTCTCAAAACATTTACACATTAATTGATCGTAAAAAATTTGAACTAGATGAACAGTTGCTTATTTGTTTAAATACTTAGCTTTCAATCAGTAAGTCGTTACAGGTTCAGATCCTGTTTTATCTAATTCATTCTGAGCAGTTGAGCAATATCTTTAGTCCTCCTTCAAATGGTATAGTTCAAATTCAAATGATGTAAAGCTGTATTTGATAGGTGAGTAACATCATGATAAAGATTTCAATAATAAAGTATCTTAGCGACTGACTATCAGTGTCACTAATTCACTAAATCGACTGAAAATCTGTGTACATATAGTATGATCTGAAAAAGTTCAATTAATTAGATAATGCTTACATTAATATGTAACATTTACTATCTGAATTACTTCACACTTGTTAATGATGTGATTATCAATTGTGTTGATAAATTTTAGCTTAGAGAGAGAGTGAATAACTTATGCAATTTTTATCAGTTTGAATAATTTTCAATCATTCATTTTATCTGATGTTAGATTTAAAATATCATCTAATTGGAAACGTATTATTAAATTAGCTGTTTATCCATAGATTGTTACTTTATCCGTTTATCATAAACTTATGTTGGGTTTTTTCTCGATTTCTTGTAACACACTGTACGCCCAATAAGAGAAATTATCATAAATCATGATTTTATAAAAAAGAATGACAATGAAAAGTTGTTTGATATCAAGCTGTTTTCTATGTTGTTGCTTTTTACCGAATTTTGATTTTATTATCGATTTAATGAAACTTTTACCCTCTGTTTGCATCATTTCACGAAAATCAATCGTAGAACAACAACTGACAGTGTTTTATTATTGACTGTATTGATGATGCGATGGCGAAATAAGGTGATTCCTTCAGATTTTTGACATTTTTAGTCAATACTGTTGTTGTTCAGTAAACATATAAAAGTAATTACTCGCAGAATACTGTATATTCTACGTTTCGTGGATTTTTTCAAATTGTTGTTCAACATGTTCCAAGAGAATGCCACGTGCATCAAATCTTATTTCAATATTTTATCTAACTCTTCTAATCAGTACTATCTGTACTGTTTATACATTTTCCATACTATTTCCGTTCTGTCAAACCAACACTATTTAAAATTAGAAGTAGTCAACATGAAACTCTTCTTGAACTGGTTTTTGTGTTATGATATATATTCATTCCTGGATCTTTTGTTATTACCTACATGAAGCGTTGGACTGATATATTGAAATTAATAACCACTTATATCAGATCTGAAAAGTTGTTTGTAAATCTTAATTTTTTGTCAGCGTCTTAATAACCGAATCTATTCGTCTTTTTACTTCTTTTTTTGTTGCATTAATTCAGGTCGAATTGCTTGTGAATTAACAAAAATGGAAGTGTTAATTACCCAACTATTACTTAATGGTTCATTCACTGATTTATCAGCTCCTGATTTAGCAGCTGTTTTATCGTGTTTTGTATTTGAAACACGTTCCACTACGGATACAGAACAATTACAACAACACGATGGACAATATTTACACAATCTACTTGAATCTCTAATGAATTTTACTAATGATGATTGTAATCAAAATCATATGTCTAATACTTGTTCAGATGTTACTTCTTATCCTTCAAATCTTATACCTGTATTACAAAAGATTGTACTATCTGCTATAGAGGTTTGTTCACCTTTGGTTTTCAATTATTAGGTTACTTTGTTTCAAATGATTTATATCTGTTTTATAAATTATTATATATGATAATTCATGACAATGATGTAGTGTAGTTTTTTTCTAAAAATAGTATTCTCATGATGTTTAAGTTAAACATTTAGACCGTTAAATGTTCTCTCAGCGGTCTAGAAGTTCGTGTGTGAAACCGAAGATTTAATTCCCGTATGCTCTCCAGCGTTTCCAGGTTTTCAGTGGTAGTTAAGATCAATTAGGGTCTTTAATTGTGAAAGATTATTGTTATTAGCTACAGGTTATATTATTTATTTATTTTAACACATAGGTATTGGTACAAGGAGGCACCAAATACATATGCGCCACACGAATCTCAATTGATTTGTGTGAGGGCTGTGATACTGTCTGGGTGCCCAAACCGAAGCAGGTGGTTTTCTTAAGGGGCCACACCCCGAGCCTTCGACCTGAACGTCTGACCCACAAGGCAGTGGAGCATCGTGAGGAGATGCAGTCCCATGGTAGCCAGTGACCAACGATTGGTTCATACGCCATTTGTTCCTTCAGGATACTGGAGCCCATGTGCACCATTGGTTTGGGGTCCGGTTAAAGCGCCGGACATTCGCTTTTCGTCCTCATTTTTGTAAACAACATCCCCGCCACGAGAAGGCAGTGAGTAGGACTTCCCTGGCAGAGGCTATATACGCGTGGCCATATGAGAGCATTTCGAGCGGGAGAGTGGACTCTCCCCCATTCTCGGCCGTACCAGGGCATTTGGGGGCACATGTTATTATTGGATTTATTGTAATAGAATTATGCTTTGATGAACTGAGACTTAAATCAAATTGCTATTTTCGGTGACTACAGACCACATGAGTTGGACTAAATGAATTAGCTAAACAGTCATTGAAATTCGGGAATTGACAACCCTGCAACATAGTAAACCCTAAGTATAAAGGCCTCGTGGTCAGTTTTCACTTTCAAATTGTTGATCTAATGTTCAGTTATTCATATGTTTCCAAATTTACATTCATTTATAGGTATTACGAATGTCATTGATAATACTCTCTCAGACACTTTTAAATTAAATTGCTGAGAGCTGACTTATTAAACCATGACACCAGCTTTAAGTTCTTCACTATTACAAGTACCTGTAATTAATGAACAAGTTTTATGCAATTATTCAGATTGTAGTATACTGAAAAACTTTTTGTACTAGTCAACATAGAATGTATGTTATGTATACTGTTTATGCAGTTTTATTGTTCATAGCTCAACTTATCAGACTACTTCATATTATTCAATATATTTCTACACCCGTTCACGTTTACTTCAATTTAATGTAATACTTGTAAAGTGATTGTTTATCGGTTAAAATACCCAGCTTTTAACCTGCTTTGCTGATTTTTGTTTGATGAGCCATGCTATAGTGTCACTAGTCGTAACCTTTCGCAGAAACAAATAATAGCTTTTAAGTCAAGTAAATAGTTAAATGAGTCATATAAAACAAATTTATTCTTATCATTGTTGTGCAATTTTAAGCATGCTATGTCTTTTATCCATATATATCTGAGTAGGGTTAGTTGATAAATTATTAAATTACTTTTAATAGTTAAGGGCATTTCATTAGATATACTTCCATTAAATAAGTATATTTTAGGAAGAAACATAAATGTTACTGATCCAAAATTCTATGCATGAAAAGTTTAAAGCTGTCTGCAGTCATTCCACATAAATACTTACTACTTATATCTGTCACCCCTCATAGGATCATAGACCACCCGCCAGGATTCTCCAAGCAACTCTGTCCCGGACTCTCCTTTACAGCTGTTTTCAATTGGTATTCATTCTTCTGATGTGTGCCTCCAACTCCCGATTGAATGTGTTCTCTGACCTCCCTCTCTAGATTTTGCATTCAGGATTCCAATTTCGGGCCTGCCCCGTGACGCAATTTGATGAGTTCTACAGTGCATGTCCTACTCTCCTCCAGCGTGTTTTCCTGATTTCCTCTTCAACTGGAAGTTGGTTGCTAATGGTCTCCAGCCAACGGACGTTGAATATCTTGTGTAGACAACTATTTAGAAATACGTGTACTTCTTTTATGATTGTTATAGTAGTTGTTGAAACTTAGAGAACAGCACATTTAAAAAGTATCAAACCTGATTTATTTTGTCTTTCTCCTTTTCCAGCTAGAGCAATTACAGACTAAATATGGTCTTACTGATCCATCTATAGACACAAGGATAACTCTACAAGTTGTAAATGCTGTTTTTTCTTGGGCTCATGGTTATTCATTCTCATCATTGGTTAGTATGACTAGTGTTCCTGAAGGTCACTTGGTTCGTGGTTTATTACAACTCGATGAACTATTACATCATATATGCAATGCTTGTCATCATCTTGGTGATAAAAATTTAAGTTTACGAATGAAGGAGGCAAGAAGTTTAATATTGCGAGATCTTGTATGTGCTCCAAGTTTGTATACTGCAGATGATCTTGTGTGAATTATTTTATTTCTACAACAGTCTTGTTTTGTTAATGATATATACGCATATGCATACCTTTATACTTTTTTATATTACTACGTATATTTACACTTGTAATTTATTTCAGCTGGAATACTTTTCATCGAACAGATTTATACTTTTAATATCAATGCATTTCAAGGTTATTTACGCAGCTAGTACTTTGAATGTTGTTCTGTTCCCCTTCTTATTGTGTTACTACTGCTGAGTATTTTTCTGTTTCTACCTGGTTTAATTAACTGTATACAGTCTTTTTCCCGCTCGTTTGTATACAACTGTATGTCTATTTACATATTTTTTGTTATTTAGCTATTTTTACTGACTTTCTCAAGAGGTTACTCTATTGTTGTAATTTGATATAATGTTCGTATTGTTTCTTTTTGAGCATAGTCTATTTGCTTTCCTTTAGTTTAATCGTTATATTCTATTTAAAAGACCAACATTTTAACTTTCTCAATTTACGAATGCTATAATGGCAGCTATTGAGTAAACATTTTTTACTGAACTGATTCATTTTCTATGATTTGGTTTTCGGTGTTAAGCATAAATTGAGATTAGTTGTGTGCGGAGTTATTCCACATTGAATATCAATAAATCTATACCAACATATGGTTTATGTGCCGAGAATTGAATTGGGTACAAAAATTGTTAGCTTAACAATGATTTGAAGTGTGTCATCTCAAACATAAGTGGTTGCATGGGCAGAAGTAAGTAGTGATTGTTTTTTCAGACAGGCTGATGAGAAATATGAAAGATTTTTGATGTATCGTACATATTTTCCTAGTTTATATTTGCTTGATTATTGATTAATGCACGCACTAGTCAGGCGAATTAGGTGATCTTGATTTCAATTGTGTTGAGGCTTGGTAGAATGGTTGCTGGTTAGATATCTAATTATAGAGTGAGTGAATTGTATACATGAACAAATGAGTTGTAGGAAGCAATAGAGATCTCGGTTCATCCCACACTTCCGGATGTCATAGTTAAGTAAGCACAACTAGCAAATCTTCGAGGGTCTCTGAACTTTCAAATAATGTAAGAGCGATCGAGCCGAGTTTATTTTCTGAATCGCAGAGTATGAGATGGTTGTGATTTTCAAATTGGTTCAAGATTCCTGAGTTTATTCTTTTACTGGCACTTCAAGATTCAATACGCATTAATCACAAATTAGCCGACTTTTGCATAAACCTGTCTACAAATCTTCCCTTGAACGCAATCAGGAGGTTTGAAAAATGGAGTGCTCGTGGTCGAAACTAAAAATATCAGCCCTTAACATAAGAGATACGTTAAACTTATCCAGTTTGTTATTGTTTTTAAAATACGGATTCAATAATTTATGTCACAAATATCGCCGAAACATTTTACGACGCACCGACGACTGTCTCTGATACCACATGAGACTACTTTTCGTCTATCATTATCTGTATTTACAGATTGATGTGACATACCGACATAGTCTTGTGGAAATAAACACCTCGTTGGATTTATTCGAATCAGTCACTAGAAAAACGTCTAACAACTAAGGACATGTCTTTTATGTCGATTACAGGATGGCATTATCAACTAAATCGTAAATATAGATGGCTTGTTAGAATGATGTAGATAGAAAACCAACATTCGTAGTGTGCGTTTTAATGGAAATAAATTACTAGTTTATGACAGTGAATAGAATGTGTCTAGCCGTCTTAGTGACCGTGAATGAAGCTTTCAAGCGTTATTTAGAGGTCTCCGAAAAATAAGATCAGCGTCGGTGAGCTTGATGTTTGCTTGTTTTAATGTTCAAATGTTTAGGGTATCAAGTATCCTCAAGCACTTTTACACTCACCTAGTAGGTAACTAAAGTGACGTCCACAGAAGACGTAAGCATATAACCTAAGTGGAATCCTCAGTGAAAATCTTGTACGCGACACACCGATTAAATGAACGGAGAAGTGTACAAAGATGTCGGATAGCACACTCTACTTGAACACGATAAAAAGGGCGGTTAAATAATTTATCATGTTAACGTAATGTGTACGAGTTTTAGTTGGGTCGATATCTCATTAGCCTAATTTATTTTCTTCGTTTACCATGAAGTTAACATACTTGTAGCTTCGAAATTAAATTAGTTTGAAGTGAGTGTTAGTTTCGAACGAATGATAACTGCTAGGATTTGTTTATGGACTGTGATTACATATATTCTAATTAGATAATTAAGTAACTAGATTATATATATATCTGTTATCGTAAGCTTTCGTTTGACCTACTTACTCTTACGAGATTTGCTATTCTGAATTTATTCCCAATCTATTAGTTACGATTTCCTGTCCTTACACTCACTTTTACCTTGAACTTTATTTTATGGTGTTATGTGGCCTGATTTTTTTGTATATAAATAATGTATGTTTAAAATATACGATTCATATACCGGAGGCTGATATTTGTGTTCTGGATTGAACGAGCTGATTTCGGCAAAAGCTACCATAAAGAAGACCAATAAGGACTCAGAGTTAACAGTATGTTGCTCGTGTTGTTTGACGCATCCTTAGTTTAGCACAAGGACATAGAAGTCAGTATTCTAATTGTCGCGTGATATTTGATGAGCCACAAGACATAAAGACGAGGAATAATTGCTTAGATTAGTGCAAATAAGTGCTATCACCCTATCGATATCAAAACAAAGTAACTGGGTACGTGATGTTTCTAAATATTCCTATGAATTTAGGTGTACCCAAACAAATGTTACTACCCGTTTATCTAAACAATAATTACTCAGTATTCAAATCTAAATTGCAATCAACAGATAATTTGTTAAACTATATAAGAGTATTACCAAGTGCAATAATTAAATAATCTTATCAATACAGGAATGTTATTATATCCTTTTAGGATAGAGCTTGTACAGATTGTCCAAAAGATATTATTTAGTCTTGTTATAACACGAAATGTTTTCAATTCTGAAAAAGTGCTTTCATTCACAGTCAAAAATGTGTAATTATAATCAAGCAATTCAAATGGGGTTGTTTTCTCTTAATTTCATAGGTCACATCACACTGACTCCAGAATAATTCATAACACCGGGAAATATGTGGACGTCTTATCATTTACATTGACTACGTTGCAAGCACAAAAGGTCAGGTTTGGAGACCTCGAGTTTACCGTATTGTGACATGTATATCCACTGATTTTTGTAACGACAATACAAAAACTACATTTTTTTCCTATTTGTCACACTATGTGACCACATTTATATTCAATATCTATTGACTGTTATTATATATACATTTTTATTGTATAACTATTCATTAACCATATAATATGTACATTCATATTTTTTATTACAAGCTTCCAATTGACCTATTGACTACTAATATATACGGTTTACTATTCCTAAGTTTCTCCCAATTTATTAGTCACAGTATCTGACACTCACAGTCACTTTTGTCCTGATCTTGTATAATTGTTATTTTCTATTTTATGGTATGGCGCCGTCTGATTTGCTTGTAATATGAACCACGTACGTCTAAGATACATGATTCATATACCCGGAAGTTGATATTAGTGTTTTAGACTGAACTGACTGGATTATGTGAGAAGCTTCTACCTCGGAGGATTTATAAGAATAGACGGTTGACTATAGCCTGTTCATACTGGTTCATGCGTCAGTGGTTTGATCAATAAGTCGGTGTTCTAAATGGCGATGTTACCACATGGTATATTAACAGGTCATAAGAACATAACAGTGATCACATGTGAACACGCTCAGACTCAACCACTAACTGGGAACACAACAGTGAGTTCCCATTTACTTGCATTCTGTAGATGTTCCAAATGGAAGACTTCTCAGCTTAGTTGCCGTTACTTCGTTGAACCATTTGAAGTGAATGCAAAATGGTCAATTAAATGTCCAGTGGTGTTCCTTCATCTGAAATATTAAATTAAACCAAAAAAACTTATAATGGTCAGGTCTCCACAAAACTGCATGTTAGTACTTCCATCCTTTGTTCCCTTAACCTCTCCACCGACATTTATTCTCACCAAAATTTCAAGTAATAATTTGGTAATTTCGAACACTTGATACTCGATAACTCTAAATGGACACTTATAACTTCACCGCTTACTGAAGATTTGACAGTCAATGATCTCAGCTATTCCACTGTTCAGCGAGAATGGAAGTGAAAGGAGATCAAATAGGAAAGATAGTATTAATTCTGGATTTTTATGAAAATCAAATTACCCATAATACAGAGGCGTTTTCCTTTACTAAGCTAGATTTTATAATTTTGATGGTTTAGAACGCATGAAGACTGATGTTTTCGATTAAATTGTATAAATTTGAATTTAATTATTCCCAAAAAATTTCGTTGCTCGTGAAAAGATAACATTGCGCCTGTGCCCTTAAAGAGTATAACAGGTCTACTGTTATTGCATCCTTTGGACGTAAAAGTTCACTATTCGGATGTTTGCTTTCCGCTCAACTCCATTAAACATCAGTTTTCAGTCTCTGTCTGAAAACCCACTATTATTGAAAGGGTAATGTGACAAGCGTAGTTGTTTACGACCAGTTTGCCGATCGACGGTGGATTGTAGCATGCAGTGAGGTGAGTGTGAAGAGGTAAAAAATCCCCAAAATATATAGCTCTGTAAATCTTCGACATTGGATGCTGACCATATTAGTTTTAACGAACTCGCCTAGCTGAAGGCGCTCGATCATGCAGCCGCTCCAGATCACGAGTGGGAACGCCGTGCTCGACATTCCATGCAATCGCTAGCCAGATTAGACCAGATGATCCTCGGTATATTGATAGCCTATCAAATATATCTTCGACCTCCTCGCTTCTGTCTTTTGATTTCACATGGTGGGTACCATTCATATTAGGTGTTACTGGTTAAGACATTATCAAACTCCAAGTACCTGTTGTATCTTCAAGTACAAAGGGCTATATAACTAAGGTAACACCCGATCCTTACCCGTTGCCTCACATTCACGATTTGACAGCTACCTTGAAAGGCACAACTGTCTTTTCGAAAATCGAGTTAATTAAAGCGTTTAACCAAATCCCTATGGCTACTGACGATACTCCGAAAACCGCTGTCATAACTCACTTCGGACTCGACGAGTTTTCGCGAATACCTTTCGGTCTAAGAAACGCTGCCCAAACTTTCCAAAGGTTCAAAGATGACGTTTTTCGAGGTCTCAACTTCGAACATGCGTATGTTGATGACTGCCTAATCGCAAGTTCGGACAGTTAATCGCACCTCCAGCATCTGGATCTTGTTTTCGACCGACTACAAAGACATGGCATTACTGTAGACATACAGAAATGCCAAATCAGAACTGACTCCTTAGACATCCTATGACACACAATCGATAGGCAATGCATCTGACCTCTTAGAAGCAAAGTGGCGGCTATTCTGGATCACCCAGAACCGACCACCATTAGGCGATTGCACACATTTAACGACCTTGTAAGTTTCTATAGACGGTTCATACCAAAATGCGCGTCAGTTATGAAACCACTAACCGACCAACTTCTTGGAAATGCGAATCCCATTAGTCTGGACGATACCGAGCAGAAACCATTCTCGACAGTTAAGGAATCGCGTGCGATACGAACAGGAAGTTATCTTTAGGCCAAGGCCTTCAGTTTTCTTTTTCTAGGACTCTCACAGAGCTGGATGGATTATTGAAATGTCTTCAGTCTTCAGTAATAAGGATAGGAGGTCAATCGACCTGTATTAATCATTGCAGTTTGTAATACTGTGGAGGTTCAATCTCGTCTTGAATATATCAACAGAAGCTGCTGATATTACGTGTTCCGGTAGAGAATTCCAATAATTCACTACTCAATGCGAGAAACGAAACTCCAGACGTAAACGATTTGATCTCGGTTTTTGAACTTTTTTCCAGTGTCCTCTCAAACGATCGGTCCTAGACGGAAGTAAAAGACAGGACATTTTAATACCAAGGTCATCGTTCAGTATATGATAAGCCAATATTAGATTGTAGAATTATGGTCTACTATGATATTAGCACTGCTCTAATAATAGGCCTAATCCTAAAATTGTAGATTTGTCATGATGCAACTGCCCAACTAATAAGATCTCACGTGGAAGTCACATTATTATCTACACCACCTCATCGCATCGTAACAATTACCAATATATGATGGAGAACAAGCTTAGGCTAGATATGGAACAATATATTTAATACGAATAAAAGATGAGAGATAACATTCAGCTGGGACCACGCCTGCATGACCGAGCCATGCCATACCATCAACCCCCAATTTATCCAATTCATTGTTCCCGCCTTCTCCATTCTTCTGTATTTCTCCGCGTTAAATGTTTAATGTCTATTTCTCATATTGTCTCGTGATAAGGCCTAATGCCACTACAAGATCACCCCGTATTCTACAGTAAGATGACGGAAAAAAGTTTAGGTGTCTCAATCTGTCTTCATAAGATAGTCCAGATAGACCTTGTACCATCTTAGTACCTCGTCGTTGCACTCGCTCTAGCATATCTGCTTCATACTTGAAACAAGGACTAGCTGCTGGAATCCCATATTCTAAATGTGGTCGCACATAAATCGGGCATAGTAATCTAAACATTTCATCATCTAAGTGCTGGAAAGACCTACGAATAGACCATAATACCCTATAGCCTTTTGCGGCAGCAGCCTTTCAATGACTAATGGTTTTGAGATCACTACTTAAGATGACTCCCAAATCTTTATAGTTTCTTACTTTGGGTAGTACGAATCCACATATTGTATAGTGATACGATTCATCATTGTTATTTAAATGCATCAATACAATCTTATTAGGATTTACTTCAAGTGACCACCTGTCTAACCATGCCACCAATGAGCTAAGATCATTCTTTAATACTATTTTATCCGATATACTGTGTATGGGTCTCCGAATTTTTATGTCATCAGCGAATAGTAGAACGGATGATTTTGCTACAGTTGGTAATTCATTTACATGAAGTAAAAAGAGAAGAGGACCGAGGATTGTGCCTTGGGGAACTCCACTTTTTACAGGTACCCACGATGAAAGAGCCCCATTAACCCTTACCCTTTTTCTCCTGTCATGGAGAAAGTTACTTATCCAATCTACGACTGTACAATGGATTCCGAAGCGTTCCAGTTTGAATTTAAGACCAGAATGAGGGACCTTATCAAAAGCCTTACTTGGATCTATAAAGATCACATCTACAGGAATATTCTGATTTTTTGCAGCAGCCCAATCTTCTCTTGCAATGAGAAGATTTGTCAAGCACGATAGGCCTCTCCGAAAACCATGTTGTTCCCTGGAGAAAAGATTATGCCTTTCAACATAGTTTATTACAGATATCCGAATGATTTTTTCCATCAGTTTTACAATTGCACTAGTTAAGCTTACAGGTCTATAGTTAGTAACTAAATCCCTACTCCGAGCCTTTTACACCGGACTTAATAGAACGTCTTTCCAGTCTCTGGGCAGTCTGGACTGCTTTAGAGACATGTCAAACAGTATCGCTAATGGTTCAGCAACATCTGATATGGCTTTCATAATCTTAAGATGAATATTATCAGGACCTCTGGACTTATCAGGTTTGATATGCTGAAGTAGCCTTAAAACAATACTTTTCTGAATGACCACAGCCATCACGATTGTAATGAATCGTTGATCGTTCCTCATTACTGACAGAAAACACTTTACTGAAATATTCCGATAAAGCTTCAGCTTTTTCGGTATCATTTTCTGTCGAGATTAACGGATTTTCTTGTATCAAAAGTGATGGAATTCCATCACTTCTTTGAGTTCGCCTTTTTATATACGAGAATAAACGTTTTGGACTATATCTAGAATCTCTAACCAATTGTTTTTCGTATGGATCGGTATTGTTCTAAGCCAGTTGAGATGAACACATCCCAGTGCATCTTCCTTCTTCTAAGAAGTTTGTTAACTGGCTTAGTTGTCCATGGTGGACTATTATTCGGTCTTCGCGGTATCAGGTATGATATGAACGAGGACGTAACTAAACTAAACTTACCTTTAAATACAGACCATGCTTCTTCAACTGATAAGCTAGTATCTACAAACCAATCTGTCTTAGCAGCGCATTCCTGAATGGCTGATATGTTAGCTTTCCATATATTTGGGCGGGGTGTGACCTGATCGTATAGCATGTCCCTAGTTCTGAACGAGAATGACAAAACAGTGTGATCGCTGCTCACTAACGGTGAAAGAACATTTAGGTCAACAATATCCTAAGTCTCATGAGTGATTACCAAGTCCAACAGAGAAGAACCTTGGTAGCACCAAAACGTGTAGGTTTGGGTACATGCTGCACTAATGCATGCTC